CACAGGTATATTTATTCATACATTTAATTAGCAATTCATCCATGCTTTCCATATATGTATTCTATTCATACAAATATTTAGGTAATATATTTAATCATTTGACAATTCATCCATGCCCACACTTTAACCATGAATTAACTTTAAAATTAACAATACGCTAAATCATACATAGCCATCACATGCATATTATACGCATATCATTAATTTAACAACCAACCTATTAAGATATGCCAAATAAGAATGATAATATTAATCATCTTAAATGATTTATATATATATATACCTACACATATGTTATTTAATGTATATATGTGTTTAACACCTTCTTTAATAATCCTTGATTATTTAAAATCAATATACATACATATATATATATATATATATATATATATATATACACTTCCTTCCATAACAAACTATTAATTTATTATATTTACACAAATTAGTGCAACTAAATATGTCAGAAATAGTTTCCTTTAAATACTCCATATTGGTTTAAATAGTTTTCCGACACCGTCTCACTAAAACGTAAATATCTCTTATTAGGATAAGAATCTGATAATGAAATTGGTACCATTGGAAAGAGGACGAAAAATCCTTGAATTTGAGCTCAAGAATGACCCAATTTCGATTTAAAATAATTAAGTTATGACCTTTTAAATTTTGAGTAACAAAACAAGAATAATAATAGGTTGAGCTCAATGGTTACTGTGAGCGCGCCCACACCGGATTATATCATTGAGCTCACACAAATGCACCACACCAGATTAGCTCACTTGAGCTCACATGTATGCATCCACACCTAATTATCTCACCGAAGCTCACATGTATACACCCACACCAGATTATCTCACATGAGCTCATATGTACCCATCTACACCACATCAACTACCCATTAATCAAGACCCATGAGAGGCCCAGATTCCATGTGCACCGTGATAGCATGCGCCGCATCACACCGAATTACTAACCTATTCTTTTTATGCCGCCGCTACAGAACCTCATATTTGTATATATATATATATATATTTGCCCAGAATATATATAAATAATTCTAAATAATTCCAGAAAAATATTAAACAACTCTACATTTTTTTTAAAAAATTACAGAAAATTCTCAAAAAATTCTATAAACCCTAAATAATTCTCTTGGGTCAAAGATCAAGCATAAACAGTTGATATTAAATATATACAACCTATATACATAATTAAAATCCTACAATTCCAAAAAATAAAAATAATAATCAATCATGCTTTTAATACTTCAATTTAATCATGATTTAACCAAATAAAATTAACTTAATATTTTTGTTATTAACTCCCTTCTAACCATGATTTAAATTAATAATTTAATTAAATTAAAGCCTTAATACTCAAGGTGAAATCCTTATGGGTTCTAAGAGGAAAGATAGAGAAAACTCGCCTGAAGGTTTCGAAACGAAACCGACGCTTTAAGCTTAATTATCTCTTCCAATTCCGACGTCCTCCTTTTCAGATCCGACCTCCTCCTTGTCAGCCCTTCTTCTTCCTCTCTCTCTCTGTCTGTTTTATTTTTCTAACGTGTAAAACCTTTAACCCTAAAGCCTTATGTGTATTTTTATACACCTTAAATTCCAAATCCTATTCCAACTAGTATTATGAATTAAAATAATAATCTTTAAATAATTTATATCTATAAACATATATATATATAAATACATATTCCTTCCATAATTAACTCATTAGTTAATTAAATCATATATACTTATAAATATCAATAAATATATATCTATATATATATCTTTCCATAACAATTATTAATTAATTATATATATATATATATATATATATATATATATAATTGATACAAAAGTGATCATTTAAATAATTAAATAACCACGGACCTTCATTAATTAACCCAATAAGGTTTCATACAAGCCCAAGACCACATCTTTTGGTCCAACTTTCCTTAAGCCCAATCCAATTAATTTAAATAAATAAGATAATTAATTAAATACAGAAATTAAAATAACTAATTACATGAAGCACATAAACAAATAAGAATTTACAACTAAGTCATATAATACCAATAAAATCAACACACCAATAATTCAATCAATAATCAACCACACAAACAATCAATCATCATACATAATCACGAAATATAACTTAATTAAAACAAGATAATTAATCTAGCACTCAATAAAATAAAATAAATCATTGAAAAATAAAATAAAATAATTAATCCTAATTAATAAATCTTTTAAAATTATCGGGGTATTACAGAAGTTGTCCTCCATCTTGTTCTTCTTCACTTCTGAGGAGGAGGAGGAGAAGAATACGGAGGATGGCACGAACAAAAAGAAGAAAGAAAGATTGATAAAAGGAAAAGGAAAAGGAAAGATGGATAGATCGAGCGAGAAGGAATAGCATCATAAGGGTGATGGTTGTATATTTATAGAGATAGAAGGGTAGGTTTTTTATATTAATCTCCAAGGTTACGATTTTACATTGTTAAGCTAGCTTGCATGTGAAGCGAAATAAAAAAATAAAAAAAAAAAATAAATAAATCTAGCTGTTATGTGGTGTTTCTACGCAGTGAATAGAGTGATAGGCATCGGTTTAATTTTTTATATGGCAATTGTAGTTATCCTTAATCTAAATTGGTTTTCTCCATAATTTTCTCAAATTTCCTAATTTGAAGTGGTATTTAAGATAAAACAATATGCTTATAAAATGATCAACATCTAATTAATATACTAAATTACCAATTAATTAAATAAACTACTTACTAGTATTAATTAATTAAATTAATCATGATAAAATACAATAAAAAACAATCAATCAAATAAAGAACCTTGACTAATATTTAACACTCCAAAGTCCAAACTAGTGGAAATGGGAACTTCCTCTAGATCTGTTTAATACTTTTATATGATTTTACTCAAAAATATATTTATTCTAAAAGAATAATAAATTGGGTTTGATCCGAACTATTTGACTTAGACCAATTTCAATATGGCTCAATGCTATATATGTTTTGTGTTTATTGATTCGGACCACTCGATTATGACTTGAACACATTTATATTCGATCTGAGAATTGTATAAATGATTTTGGTAGCCTTGGGGTTGAATATTTATAGAGTGCATGCTGCCTCTTGGGATTGAGTATATAGTGTCTTGTCATCATGGAATTTTATTGAAAGCTGGTGGAAAAATTTGCACGTTTTTAAAAAAAATAAAATTAGAAATCAATTCTTCTCGGGGTTCTGAGGGTTTTCTCTCTGTTAACAATTTTTTCGTCAATGGCCATTTTCGTCTTTGTTCTTATGGTTGAAGAGTATTGTGTAAGACAATAACAGAACAAGAGAAAGAATGCAAGAAACACAACGGGTGTATATATATTAGAGATGGATGTGAAGAAAAAGAGGATGGACCATCTTTTCATAAATTACAATTTGATAGTTTGACACAGTATGTCAACACAATTATATATATATATTATTTTTTGAAATTTTATAGTTTTTTTTAATATATATATTTTAAATTATTTTTTAGAATCTTGATCTATATGAGTATGTCAACACAATTATATATATATATTATTTTTTGAAATTTTATAGTTTTTTTTTAATATATATATTTTAAATTATTTTTTAGAATCTTGATCTATATGAGTACTTCAAAAGGATGACATCTGGGAATTGTTAATGGGGTGGGCTAAATTTTTTTTGAATGAGCTAATATTAGTTATAAATTTATTTATTTATTATTATTATTTTTGGGTGGGCTCTGCACTCTTGATTCTACATCAATTGATTTTTCAACCAATTTATTGAATGCAGGGTTTGGTTGGATTAGAGTTAGATTTTTTTTTTAAAAATTTTTTTTAGGTTGATTTGAGTTAAAATTGGCCTTCCATAGTTGCCACATGAACAAAACGTTGATTTCCAAATAAATTTTGCAAATTCTTCCAACTTTAGTAAAAGCTTGTCATTACAATATATTCACACCAATAATTAGAGAGAGGTCAAAATTGAGAAACGTGCTATACACTGAAACGATATAAACAAAGAGACAAATCAAAACGAGGGACAAACTATACCGTAACAATGAATTTTGCCACTGTTTTATGGAGTTATCACTCTTTTTCTTTTTTATTTTATTTTTCTCATTAATATTCTTTTAATTCTCCCCATTTTTTGGTATCAAATTTTCTAAAATTTGTTTTGAGTACAAATCACAATGGCAGATTAAGATATACAGGATGTGTTTCATATACACAAGATTCAAACATTGTAGCACCCATGTACAATAAAATTGATTTGATTCTATTATAAAAGAGAAGCCTTATATACCTAGAATCTTATTATTATTAATTTTTTGGTAAGTACAACTAGAATCTTAATCTATTAGCATGGCATTCATATAATTCTTTGCACCTCTTTATCTGAAATCCATAGATATAAGATGGCCTTAAATGAATATATATATATATATATATACACAATGGAAAAACTTAAATCATATACATTAAACTTCAATCTAAACTGTAACTAAACCAAAATCCATTCATTTTAAAGCATTCAAATGGAGCCTTAATCACAATCTTAAAATGAAAATGAAGAGAAAGCATTTCCTATTCACACACACACACACACACACACACACAAATACACACGCATCACACAGACTCCTCTTTCTCTCTTATAATGATTATTAATTACCACAGAACTGGTAATAGTCCTTGACATGGATCAAAGAAACAAGCTTTTCATTAAATAAAAAAGGAACATTGACTAAGGATTTCTATTCATGAACACACCGAGTATTAAAAGCTAGCAAACAGAAATTAATCATATATATATACCACCATAAAACTTGAAATTGGCCAAGAATCAATAACACCTCTGTAATATATGATCATGAATACTTCAATTTTGGGAGGTTAATTACAATACCCAATTATCTGACCCAGAAGCAAAAACACCATTGTCGAATTCTTGACAGAAATTGCAGGTTAGAATTAAGAACAGGGTTCAACCAGTTTGACCGGGTGGTGGTGGCCGCGGCGGCCTCTTTGGTTGTAGCTTTGGGGCGGGTTGTGGTTTCCGCGGCCGCCGCCTTGGTTGTAGATTTGCGGCGGGTGGTGGTGGCTGCTGCGGCAGCTGAGGTACTAATAATTGTTGTTGCTGCATTGCAGCGGGTGGTAGTGGCCTCGGCGGCAGCTGATACATAAATATTGGTTGTTGCGCCATTGCCACGCGCGCGGGTGGTACTTGCTCCGGCGGCGGCTGATGTTCTAATCTTGGTTCTTGCAACCTTGGGGCGAGTGGTGGTGGATGCGGCGGCAGATGATACGGAAATGGTGGTTGTTGCCGCATTCCGGCGGGTAATAGTGGCCACGGTGGCAGCTGATACAAAAATGGTTGTTGCGGTTGCCGCGGGTGGTAGAGGCCCCGGCGGCGGCTGATATTATAATCTTGGTTGTCGCAACCTTGGGGCGAGTGGTGGTGGATGCGGCGGCAGATGATACGGAAATGGTGGTTGTTGCAGCATTCCGGCGGGTGGTAGTGGCCACGGTGGCAGCTGATACATAAATGGTTGGTGCGGCATTGCCGCGGGTGGTAGAGGCCCGGGCGGCGGCTGATATTCTAATCTTGGTTGTCGCAACCTTGGGGCGAGTTGTGGTGGATGCGGCGGCAGCTGATGGACTTCTGGTTGTTGCAGCCTTGCGGCGGGTGGTGGCAGCAGCTGAAGCAATATTGGTAGTTGCAACCTTGCAGCGAGTGGCTGAGGTGGAATATTAATGGGTGGTTGTGGTTGTGGTTGTGGTTGTGGATGAATAGACAGAGAGAGATTAAGCCACGGACCATTTCCTTGGTCATCTTGTTGTTGCAGGGGCGGTGGTTGTGGTTGTGGTTGTGGTTGTGGATGAATAGACAGAGAAAGATTAAGCCAGGGATCATTGTCATGATCTTCTTGTTCTTGCGGTAACGGAGAAAGGGTAAGCTGCTGACGATTGTCCTGATCTTCCTGTTCTTGCAGTTGTGGTGGTGGCGGAGGAAAAAAAAGAGGAAGAGTAAGCTGCGGATCATTGTCATTATCTTCTTCTTCTAGTGGGGGTGGTGGCGGTAGTGGTGGTGGTGGTGGTGGAAAAGGAATAGGAGGAAAAGATAAAGAAAGAGCAAGTGCTTGTTCATGTTCATCGGCCATATCGTCTATGTTCTTCTTGGGTGAAGAGTACTGTTCAGGACTATAACAGAACAAGAAAAATGATCGAATGCAAGAAACAATGAGAATTGAAGGGCATGTGAAACAGAGTATATATATATATATATATATATATATATATATATTAGAGATAGATGTGAAGAAACAGAGGATGGACCAACTAAATTTTCAGAATTGTTAGTAGTATGTGATACTTCTGTTTAACATATATATATATACACACACAAACACACACAAGAGGAAAAGGGGTTCTGCTTTGCTCGCCACTGTGAGTAGGGTTGTAAAATGAGCCGGCCACCAATTTAACCCAATAAAATTCCATTATGACAACACTCTCTCCCAAAAAATGGTCAAATTTTGAGGGTTTTTTTTTTTTTTTTCGATAAATAATTTAACAAATTTTGCGGATTTGCAACTTTTGGTTGTAGTCTAAGAAAAAAAGCCTAAAAGAATTGGATAATGAAAAAAAGTTAACAAATTTGCACCTTATTTGGCACTCATGCATAAAAAATGAATTTAAAATGAATGTCAAATTAGGTTCTTGCTTCTTCTTTTCTCTCCATTCAACTCGAAGGTGACTTTAAACTCGAAATAAAATTAGCAAATGGGCAATCGAGTATAGTGTGACAAGTTGATTCTTCTACTTGTCCAATACATGTAGCATTAATAATCACACTTATTTGTAAATTCAATAATAAAATCCTAAAATATATCTAAATTAAACATTACGTCAAATAATAATAATAAATAAACAAATATTCCGGTGCTCATGGATTCGAGCTCGTTACTGGTGGTGTGTGTGGTGTGAGCAGTTGTGGCAGTGTCTTCTTTGACCCAAAGGTGGCATGTTTGATGTGGCGTTTTTGTGGGTGGTGTATGTCGTGTTTGATGTGGCGGCGGTGTGTGGTTGTTGCGGTGTGGCGGTGTGATTGAGGCGGCGCATGGGTGTTGCGGTGTGTGGTTGTGGGGACATCTTCTTTGACCCAGAGGCGGTGTGCTTGATGTGGCGGCGGAGTGTAGTTGTGGCGGTTGTGAGTGTGAGGGATTACATAGTTAGGGCTAGGGTTATTTTTGTCGATTAACAGGTTTAAGGGTAAATATGACTTTTGAAATCTATGAGGTGTCAATGTAAATTAGTGCGTTGATTGTCTGCTGAATGGCGTTGACCCAAACCTCATGGGCGTGTGAGTACAATTTACCCTTTAAAATATGTACTTATTTCACTTGGTACATTACCATTTTAATTTAAAAATAATAATATATTTATCTATAATTGTTTTTATTAATTATAGGAAGTATTAAATCTGTCAATTATCTATCAAATGTTGAAAATAAAAATGGAAAGGAAAAATTATATATATCAAGTGGCAGTAAGTTATACCTGCCTCGTTAACAAATCTTCCCAAGGCATCCCAGTGTTACGAACTAACAACTAATCAGTGTATAAATGGAATTCGCGTACAATGAATTGAAAAAGCAAATTCGAGAAAATTGAGTTCACGAATTTTGAGCGAATTCACTCCCAAAAATTGAATCCGAGCACAAAACTTGGGAACAGCTCCTACTTCAACGAATTATATGACTCATGTTTGAATTAGAATGTCTTAACTCTTAACACAAATTCAATTTGAATGGTAAAAATGTCACTATGCCATGTTCAGTTCCATAAAATTGGCAATTAAAATTAAAAAAAAAAATAGTTTAAAATTGAAAACAAAAATATGTTCAATTCACATTCAGTTTGGGTTGACCGGTTTAAGTTACACCCTGATATTGCAAGCAAAACTCCATCCCACCAAAACCAACATAAACTCATTTATTCTCATTGTTTCTTGCATTCTCATTCTTGCTCTGTTTTTGTCCTACACAAAGTACTCTTCACCCATGAAGAACAAAGACGAAATGGCCACTAAGCAAGAAATGATCAACAGAAAGAGAAAATCATCAGAGCCCCAACAACAAGAAGATCATCTCCTCCAGCTGACTCTTTCTACACCTTTTCCTTCCACCACCCCCCCAACACCAATAACGCCGCCACCGCTGCCGCCACCACCACCCTTGCAAGAAGAACAAGAAGACCATGATAATGAGCTGCAGTTTACTCTTCCACCACCCCATGTCGTCTACATGGACCCTTTGGGCCTAATGCCGGTCTGGAATCCTACACCCCTCCCTACAGTTCCGCCACCACCACCACCCACAATGCTGCAACAACCACAACAATCATCTTTGCCACCACCCCATTTCTTCTGCATGACACCTTTCGGCCCAATTCCGGTCTGGTATGCTATACCCCTCACTACAGTTCCACCTTGGGCCACCACTCGCCGAGCCACCATCCACAGTCTTGCTCATCTTGAATCCCGACAAATCTTTACCATCACAGGACATGTCCAATGCAAGATATGCTATAAACGCTACGAAATTCAATATGATCTTAAAGAGAAATTCAATGAAGTGGGTGGTTTCATAGTAAAAAACAAAGACACCATGCTTGGTCGAGCTCCACAGAAATGGTTGAACCCTGTTCTTCCAATCTGCAAATTCTGTCAAGAACAGGGCAATTACAGAGTCAAGCCAGTGATTGCAGAAAAGAAGAGAGATCAATTGGCTTTTTCTACTTCTGGGTCAGATGATTGGATGTTGTAGTCTCACACAGTTGAAGTATTTCTGCACACACACCAAGAATCATCGATCAGGAGTCAAGGATCGACTTGTTTATCGCACTTATCTTGGACTCTGCAAACAGTTTCAACCCAATGGCCATTTTTGATCCTTATTGAAGATTCTTCATATATAGATAAGCTGTTATTGATTGTTTTTAGAGTTTGTATGAAATGAATTGTTACTTGGTGTTAATTAGTTCATTGTTAATGTTCATATGATGAATTTTTTTTCATTCATTTGTTTAGTTATATATGAATTGTTATTTATTTGTTTGCTGTTCTTTTGAAATAAAATCTGAAATAAATTATATATGAATTGTTACTTATTTGTTTGCTGTTCTTTTTTGTTTTTTAATAATGCGGGTGGGTTGTGCGCGCGCGAGAGAGAATGTGTTGCATTGGGAAGGACTGATGAGGAATAATTAAAATTCAACTATTTATTTTAAACAAAATAAATGGAATTAGGTTTAGTTAATTAAGGAGGTTTAATTAAGGTTTAGGTTTAATAACTAAGTTTTAAGTTTTTATTTAAAGCCTTCTATCAATGGATTTCAAATAAGAAGGTGAATGTAATTATATGAAACTCATGCTTATAATGATTTAGTTGTATTATTAGACTTGTAAAAAATGTTTCTTTCCGACATTTTTCTTTGAAAGAAAAAGATGTATCACTCTACAATCCTTGGAAAACATATTTGTGATTCATTTCAAATTCATTTCTTGTACATGAATGCCATAAGGTGCAAATCTGCCAACAATTTTTATGCATCCAATTATGTGCAAATCTGCAAACTTTGTCGGAAAACAAAAAAAGAAAAAAAGAGAGGAGAGTATCATAATTAAAAATATAGATGATTTATGAACTTAAAAGTTGGTATATCATTTGTGTTAGACCTCAATTGTCCGATTCGAATTGAGTAACAAAGTTCAGGTTACTCGATGCATTTGGATTTGAATCTCTTACCCAAATTCAATCTAAGGTGTAAAAATGTTGAAAAAAGAAAATGATTGTCCAAAAAAATGGTCAAATTCAGGTTGGGTCTGAGTTGGACAGCTCAAGGATACATCCCATATTTGCATATCGGTAACCAGCATGCCCTGAAGTTAAAATCGACCAAAACCCCCTTTTCCTATAGTGTGTGTGTGTGCATGCGCGCGCGCGCAGGGGTTAGGAAGATGGGGAAGATGAAGGCATCCCATTTAATAAGAAAAGTGGCGCAGGGGTTAGGAAGATGGGGAAGATGAAGGCATCCCATTCAAAAAGAAAAGTGGCTCTGCGTTGAGAAAAAACAAGGTGGTTTTCATCAGTTCTTCAGACACTACTGACGAAGTAAATGAAGTTGTGACACCAAGATTAAGATTTTTATCTGTTGGTTTTCTTAATTGCTTTAAATCAAAATATACATAATGCAAAATCTTAAACCTTAGTTGTCAAACCATCCCGGAGGTAGGGACTTAATTTGAATTTCGTTGGGACCACTCCAAGTTATTTTCCTTAGTAATTGTTTGGTGCACGTGGAATGGTGGCTGCATGTGCTCAATGATGGATTATGGATTGTTTTAGGAAGTCAGACACCATCATTGTTGAAAAACAAAAAAAAAAAAAAAAATTATCCTAATTGTCAAACCTAAAATTCTTTTTTGAATTTGAACTACAATTTTTAAATAATTAAACTTAAATCCATTCCTTGTAATCCGGTAGCACCTCAATCAGAAATTGTAAAGATTTGAACAATTTTAAAGGGATGTACAGGTTTTATTAAACACTTAACTAATACCAGTAAAAACCAAATTTTTTCCCCCAAAAAATTAAAAAATTTGTTGAAGCATGATATCTCTTTTAAAGGAATGAACAATATCATTTTTTTTTTTTCGCTTTGAGTTATACCAGAGAATATTGTTTCTTTTTTCAACTCACGTGATATAGCCAAGATTTGGGGAGTTTTAGCGTTTTCACTTTTGCGTTGCCTATTATTACTCATTAAGTGAATACTCTTTCATTTTTTAACTCTGACTTGATATAGCCAAATCACATTCAGGGAGTTTTAGTGTTTTCTCTTTCGCGTTGCCTATCATTACTCTTTTCATTATTCTCTCTATATAAAAATTGTATTAAATCAACAAATTGGAATATTCCAATTTAATTATTGTGGCAAAATCATATTAAATGAACAAATTGGATTAATCATATTAAATAGGGAAAATAACTTGGGGCAAGATATATATATATGCATGGGACAAGTGCAAAAAATACCCCTAAAATATACTCCGCGTAACACTTTTACTCATATTTAAAAAAGTGTGCAAAAATCACCCATAATTTTTTCACATTGTGCAAAAATACTCCATATGACATAAATTAGTATTGTAATACCCGTTTTACCCTTGGACCCTTCCGAAAATGTCCAAGGGGGTATATATGCTACTAATCTCACAGTATAGGGGTGTTATGTATACATTACCTTATATATATTTTTTGGAAATCTTTTCTCTATATATATCTCTAAACATTTTTTTTTTAAAAAAAAACTTTGAGAATTTGTAGAATAAGGATTTAAATTTTTTGAGATTCCAGTTTACTCTTTTCTACTAATTTTTTTTTTTTCGTACCAACAATGTTAAACAAAAAAAGTAAATTCCAATATCAGTGCGCACTGATTTTCGGAGTTTGAAAAAATTTGGTTTTCTTTAGTTTGCACTTTATTATTGTTTTTATTTTCTATTTTTATCTTTACTTTTCTTTCATACTTTTATTTTTTTATCTTTTATTTGTCCATTGCCGGTTCTCCAATAGTGTCATTTTGGGTAATTTTATAAAATTATTTATTTTTATATATTTTATAAAATGGTTCAGTTAATTTAATTAATTTAGAGTTTAAATTTGTTAGAGGGGCCTATTTGCACCAGACTGAAACTTTAGGGGTATTTTTTTGTACAAGAGGGACATCTTCCAATAATATCATTTTCGGTCATTTTACAAAATTATTTATTTTTATATATTTTCTTAAATCGTTCAGAATAATTTAGTCAACTTAGGATTTAAATTTGTTAAGAGAGACCTATTTGTATCAAATTAAAACTTTAAGAGTTTTTTTTTTTTTTTTGGCACAAAAGGGGTGTGATATATACTGTTAAAAGAATGTTTTCTGCACTCATATACAGTGGAATCCCCATATAAACTTCTTTTTTCGTTGTCTTTTGTGAGTCAGGGAGGAATTTTACTTTGCGTGAATGGGGGATTTATTCCTTCTTTTAGCTTCCACTTTTCTCATGCTACGTTCTGTCTAAGAATTTTACTTTGCGTGTCCTAATGCTGCATTATTCATTTTCTTTGTTTTTGACAAGGGAATTGAATTCCTTTTGCTTCACCTGTTTATAAGATCATCGTACAGGCCTACTGCAACAACTGCACAAACAAAAACAACACAAACAAATCACTGATATCATCATCATCATCATCATCATCATCATCATCATCATCTCTTTACAAGAAATGGCAGACGCAATTGTGACTGAAATCCTGAAGAAGTTGGGTTCGGTGGTTGTCCGAGAGATCGGATTCGTGTGCGGTATGAAGGATGAATTTGACAAACTCAGAAGCATGCTTTCCACCATTAGAGCAGTGTTTGTCCATGCGGAGGAGCTGCAAGACACAAACCCTGAGGTAGCAGACTGGCTCGAAAAGCTCAACGATGCACTTTATGATGCTGATGACTTGCTGGATGACTTCTCCACACAACTTCTCCGGCGCCAGGTTATGACTCAGGATAAAAGTCTAAAGAAGGTGCGTGTTTTTTTCTCAAGCTCTAACCAACTTGCTTTTGGCTTTAAGATGGCTTATGAGATTATGGCCATTAAGGAGAGGCTAGATGAAATCACAGAAAATAGGAAAAAATTTCACCTCACTGAAAGTCGACCTATAGGGATGCGAGCTAAGAATATTAAGCGGGAGGAGACCTATTCTTCTGTTGATGTAGTAAGTGTTATTAGGAGGGATGTCGATAAAACCAACATTGTACAACTATTATTAAATATTAACATTCAAGAGAATGTGTCCACGGTTGCAATTGTTGGGATTGGGGGAATAGGAAAGACCGCACTTGCATAATTAGTATATAATGACGAAGAGGTCACTAAATATTTTGAACTTAAGATGTGGGTGTGTGTTTCTGACCCATTTGATGTGAAAATCATTGCACAAAATATCATAGGTTCAGAAGTAGGTAAGGACCTTCAGTTAGAAGAAGTGCAAAATCGCTTGAGTTCAAAAATTGATAGAAAAAGATATTTACTTGTATTGGACGATGTGTGGAATGAGAGTCGTGACATGTGGTTAAAATTGAAAGATTTGTTGAAGGGTAGTTCAAGAGGTAGTAAGATATTAGTAACAACTCGCAGTGAATTAGTTCCAAACATTACTCGGGCACATTCACTGTATCTTTTATAAGGCTTGTCTGAGGTGAAATCATGGTCTTTATTTAAGCAAATGGCATTCAAACAAGTGGAAGAGTCGGAGAATCCATTTCGAGTAACAATAGGGAAGGATATTATACAAAAGTGTAAAGGGGTTCCTTTTGCCATAAGAGCTATAGGAAGCCTACTATACTATAAAGATACAGAGGCTGAATGGTTACTTTTCAAAAATAATGATTTGTTGAAAATGGCTCAAGTAGAGAATGTTATTTTACCAATACTAACGCTAAGTTACAATTACCTCCCTATGGATCTGAAGCGATGCTTTGCATTTTGTTCTTTATATTTGAAAGATGAAAAAAATTATGAGGACGAATTAATCCAATTGTAGATTGCAGAGGGATTGGTTCAGTCAGTGTATGAGAATCAACAATTGAAAGATGCAGCTGATTTGTATTTTATGAATTTACTAAGGAGATCCTTTTTTCAAGACGTCGAAAGAGATGAATGGAATGAGATAATAAGTTGCAAAATGCATGATCTTGTGCATGACCTTGTACAGTCCATGGCAAGGCTTGAGAACTCCACTTTGAATTTAGGCGTAGAAAGTGTTACCGAAAGAACCCGTCATGTGTCATTTGGTTTTCGTGTAGATTTAAAATGGGGAATACCAATACAGTTGGTGAAAGCTAAAAAGTTATGAACATTTATTTTGAATGATCAAGATTTAGAAGAAACAACTTTTGAAAGAATTGTTTCAACTTATAAATGTTTACGCGTGCTAAATCTGAAGAAGATGCGAGGTTACCGAAACAAGCTGAACAAAGTGCCAAATTGTATAACTAAGTTAAAACATTTAAGGTATCTTGATCTTAGTGGCAGTAATATCAAGATTCTTCCAAATTCCATAACCAAGTTGCAAAATTTGCAGACCTTAAAGCTCAATGAATGTACAGATCTTGTAGAATTGCCCAGAGATATTAAAAAATTGGTGAACCTTAGGCATATTGAGCTTGACGGGTGTTTGCAATTGACTGGCTTGCCATGTGGATTGGGTAAGTTGACGTCTCTTTTGACACTAAAAATATTTGCAGTGGACTCATTCAGCGGGTTGAGTGAATTTCAAAACCTAAACAATTTAAGGGGAAAGTTATGTATCCATATACGTAGCTGCGGGTATGTGAAAAAGGTAACAACAACAGCAGCAACGGGAAGAATGCAGGGAACAAAGTACTTGGAGGCCAAACAATACCTTAAGAGCCTGGAATTAGAATTTGATAGGGATGAAGATAATGGGGTTTTGTTGGAATCCCTACTTCCACACTCGAATCTGAAGGAGCTGAAAATAGAGGTGTTACGAAATAAGGATCGAATAGGAGTTTATAAGAACAAAAGAAAAATAATAACAAGAAAAATGAATAGGCACACACAAAAGGGATAAGGATTTATACGTGGTTCACCCTCACAAATAGGGTTACATCCACGGGTGATGATGATTCGTATCACTATAAAGAAGAAGATTACAAACTGAAGAACGTTTTGGTTCTTCCTCACAATAATCTGTCTTCTCACACCACTCACTTATCAACAAAGAAGACTCACTCAACACTCAAGAACTACCCCAAATAGTATATGGTTTAAACAAAGAGAAAAACCCACCCAAAGACAAGTTTCAAGTGTCACTTGAAGATTGCACACACAAAAGGATTTTCTCACACACACAAAACCAATATACTCTCTTGAGCAGAATATTATCTTATTCTTGGATGCCTCTCGGATGCTTCAAACAATGGAGGGCAAAGGCTATTTATAGCCAAAATGGGACACCAAAATGAGACTACTTGGTGATCACTCAAATGACTTGTTGGGCACACATTCTTAGAGGCCAAGGCTACTTGGTTACCACTCAAAAGACTTGTTGGGCACACATTCTTGGAGGCCAAGAATCTTGATGACATTATGGGTGATGCAAGCCTCAAATTGAGCCATATGTTTAACAAATCTCCGCCTTGGCGAAAATTCTCCACCTTGACAAAAATTTCGAATGAGCCACAAAACTCCATCCTTGGCAAAATTTCTCCGCCTTAGCAGAAATGATAAGACAACATCATAAAGAGTCTTTCTTCAACACAATGTGAGTAATAAAAATAACGCCATCATCATCTCCAACAGAAAATAAATTAATAAAGAATTTTAGTTAAATTTAAGTCATCCTCAAACTTCAACCTCAGGCTCTTATTCTTCAACCCATACATGTCTTGCGCAGCCACAAACATAATTTCAGTATTTGTGTCAAACTCTAAATACTTACCAAAAGCAACCTCAGAAATTCCAAGTTTTATATCTCCTTCAGCAACCTTCTCCAACCACTCACAAACCACCTGCTGGTAATGAAAAGTCATCTTCTCACCTTTGTGGAGAATAAGATGTCCTTGACTTTTCCCCGCATCTCTATTGTGACCAACTACTTGCTTCCCACGCATCTTAATGACACTCGAATGGACTATCTCATTGCCACCAAGATTATTGCAAGTCAATATCACACTTGTCCTCATAGGTTTGCCTCCCTGTAAGGACTGTTGCAATTTCGGTTGCCATCTGCAAACGGATTTCATTCTCCTACCATGTTGTGTAGTCCCCTCACAACCTTTTTGAGAATTAGGATCGTAACTCCTCTTTTTATCTTTTCTTTTGCCAATACCTTGCTGAGTGAGCAGGGTCTGCATCTTAATGCGCCAAAGACTAAAACTAATCTTACCATCAAATTTCTCAATCTCGTATTTTGTCGACATCTCAAAAACTCCCCAAAAGCTCTGATACCAGTTTGTTACAAAATAAGGATCGAATAGGAATTTATGAGAACAAGAGAAAAATAATAACAAGAAAAATGAATAGGCACACACAAAAGGGATAAGGATTTATATGTGGTTCACCCTCACAAATAGGATTGCATCCACGGGCGATGATGATTCGTATCACTATAAAGAAGAAGATTACAAACTGAAGAACGTTTTGGTTCTTCCTCATAATAATCTCTTTTCTCACACCACTCACTCACCAACAAAGAAGACTCACTCAACACTCAAGAAATACCCTAAATAGTATATGGTTTAAACAAAGAGAAAAACCCACCCAAAGACAAGCTTCAAGTGTCACTTGAAGATTGCACACACAAATTGATTTTCTCACACACACAAAACCAATATACTCTCTTGATCCGAATATTGTCTTACTCTTGGATGCTTCTCGGATGCTTCAAACTATGGAGGGCAAAGGCTATTTATAGCCAAAATGGGACACCAAAATGAGGCTACTTGCTGACCACTCCAATGACTTGTTGGGCACACATTCTTGGAGGCCAAGGCTACTTGGTGACCACTCAAAAGACTTGTTGGGCACACATTCTTGGAGGCCAAGAATCTTGATGACATCATGGGTAATGCAAGCCTCAAATTGAGCCATATGTTCAACAAGAGGAATATGGGGGAGTGAGTTTCTAGCCAAGTTGGATGATGGTTGATAAAATTGGCTTATTCTTTTCATTTCTCCCAAAACTAGTCAGAATTCATATGCAATTCTCTCACAGATGCAAACATCTTCCACTATTTGGCCAACTTCCTTCTCTCCAATTTCTAAGGCTTTGGCAAATGGTATCCCTGGAGTTCATGGAGGACAACAGTAGTAGTGGAAGTGGGAGTGGTAGTGGTGGTGGTGAGGAGTCCCTGTTTTCTTCATCTTCATCGAGTGGAGTAGCAGCACCAGCACCAACACCAACACCAACACCAACACCAACATTCTTCCCATCCCTCAAACAACTTCAACTCTGGGAATTGCCTAACTTGAAGGGATAGTGGATGAGCCAAGCAAAAGAAGAAGAAGCAACACCAACTTTACTGCGCCAACAACATTTGAAGAAGCTCCCATCAGTTCATTCTCTTACCCAATTAAGCATCCAAAGTTGCCCTAATCTGGCATCAATGCTTATTCTGCAACCATGTCTTGAACAACTAGATCTCTCTAACGTCAGCAAGAAGGTGGTAGAAGAAGAGTTAAAGATGACATTGTTGTCCCCAACCCCAACAACAGATACACTCGCAACCTCTTCTTCATCTTCCAATTTAAAGTCTCTGTCTTTATGGTTCATTGACGATATAGTTACTCTCCCAGAGCCAGAGGAGTTGTTTCTAAGCCTCACTTCTCTCCAGAATATTTCAATTGGTTATTGTGCAAGACTAACCTCTCTGTTCGGTGTGCTGCGGCCTCTCACCGCCCTCCTTTCTTTGGCAATTAGCAATTGCAAAGAGCTTCATCTGTTAGATGATGACAACGGCATGCAATATCTTAGGAACCTAACGGATCTATGTATCCAAA